CCCCAAAACCCCAAAACCCCAAAACCCCAAAACCCCAACTGTAATTTCTCCTTTTGAATATTATTAATATAAAATGGAAAACCCTTCTATCCAAGACATTCTGACCTGTGTAGTTTGCACCAACCTTCAGGCCGATTCAGGTAAGCTTTCTCTGATTATTTCTAGCAGGAAGGAAGTTTCCATTCCAATGTGGAGCCTGTATGCAGTATCTCTGCTCAGAATGAAAGGATAAGCCCCACTTTGATGAAGACGGAGACGAATGAGATGAACCAGAGATCGAAGATATCGAGCTAAACACAGTTGCGCAGGAAGATCTTCTCCAACAGAAGTATAGATGTCCTAAGGGATGAGGAAAAGACACTATGAGCTATGACGAAGCCTTACAACATCTAGGCACTTGTACAGTCAGTGATAAGAAAACTAAGATAGAGAAGCTACTTGACCAACTTGATGGCCCTGATTTGCCAATCACTTGGGAAGCCAGGAGTCGATGCAAGAAGTGTAGCTGAGTTCCTTTCCAACCACTCTACTTTTGTAATTGAAGCATCGGTTTGTATTGAACGTTCTGAAGAGCTCAAGATGAAAAGTGAATCAGCTGCAACTCAGTTATCAGATCTGTCTGATTTATGAGTGAGGAGTTATTTACCGAGAAAGTATTCAAACTCCAGATCAAGCGGTATCTTTGTAGATTCTGAGAAGAGCCTTACACTTGGGATGCTTTGGCTATTCACGAGAGAATCTGATTTGTTAATGCAACTCCAGAAAAGCAAGAAGAGATAAAGCATAAAGAAATTAAAAATCATTACTTATTAAGAGAAGAATATTGTGAAAAGATGGAGAACATATTTTGAGATGTTCAGGAGAAATTGTCACAAAGATTGGCTAGATTTGAGGTATTTTAACTATCCAAATTTATTTATTTTTATTACATTTATCTTTTTGTATACTTTCCAAATCTAATAACTTTCCATCAGACTGAATTCATCAGATTGCAACAGAAAAATTGAGAGTTAAGAGGAAAAGAACTAGGAGAGGAGAGAATTGAAGGTATTAAAAAGTTTATCTCCAAGCTAAGAGACGAAGAGAAGATAAATCTAGCTATAAAGGAAGCTGTAAATCGTATTGAAAATTATCCTGAAACGTTAGAACCTCCAGCACCAGATCAGAATGAGTTTATTAAGTTTAAGAAGTTTGACAAGATATTTACCTTATTTAAGTTTAACAATAAGGTTGTGAATCCTGGAATTCAGAAGAAGGTTCATAAACATTCTCGTCCTTTGATCCAAGCTGACGGATTTAAGATTGTACAAACTCCTCTCTCAAACAGAGTGTTTTTGATAGGAGGTGATGCAAATCCTTGGGGAACTTTTGAGTTTGACCTTGAACAGAATAAGTTTCTCCCTGAAAAGAAACTGAAAGGAGATAAAGATATAATAGTTCCTCTTTCTATAGGAAGGTCTCATCATTCCTTATCTGCAACATGAGGACTGATATTTTGTACAGGTGGAAAGCCAGATTTCTTAAGAAAACAAGATGATCCAGACAATGAAATTGATGAATCTAATGGAAAGCTTATAGAAGTTTTTAAGCTCAAGGAAGGGAAATGGATTCAGTACAATAACAGATTACAGAATGCTAGGTGATGCCATAGCTCTTGTATTTTAGGAAATTATCTATATCTATTTCAAGGATATGATGTTTCTAGCTATGCAATCAACTCTGTCTCAATAGAAAGGATAAGAATTGACATTAGTGAAGCAACCTTGTTCCCTGATCCAGGATATGAGTCTAAGTATGCAGTACAAGAGTGTAGATTTGGGGTTCATGTGAGACCCTTTACTGCTATTTTTCCTACTCAAAGTCAGAACCAAATCATATACTTTGGATATACAGGATTAGAAGAGAATTGTATACAGCCATTAGATCAAAGAGATTTAATCAGAACAGACAAAGAGAATCAAATTTACCATAAATATATTTTAAGGGATGAATATCCAAGATATAATGAGTCTAACCAGCAGCTCAATTGGGAAAAGGAGGAATACCAAGAGGCTGTTAAGAAAATTAGTGATAAAATGCAAGAGGAAGAAGAGATTAAATCATTGAATAAACCTCTTTGTGAGGAATATATCCATCACTCTATGTACTTTAGAGGAATTACATTTTTCCATTCCAATGTTGGTAAGCTCCTACATTAATTTTTCTCCTAAATTATTAAGGCCGTTCCATACATTTGTAATTTTGTTTGAGAATCTTGATTAATAGAGGAATAGTAAAAATTATTATATCCTTAAGACTTCACTAATAATATTTCTACTCTTTAGAAAAACTGTGCTACTTTGATGATGAAGAAGGATTCAGAATAAAGGAGGTGCCGAATCCAGAAAAACAAGCAGATAATGATAGCTCGTCAGATTCTGATTAATATCGCATTCAATATTATTTTTATTAGGAGGGGTTTTGGGGTTTTGGGGTTTTGGGGTTTTGGGGTTTTGGGGTTTTGGGG